TACTGAATGTAGACTTAAGGTTCACTGGCTGAAGCTCATCATGGACAAACGTAATCTAATGTGACTCCCTGAGTTTCATGGTCTGCAACGATGTTGGACATCGCAAGAGTAGATATCTAGTGTCGATTCACAGTTCACTACAGACCAAGAGACTGCCTTCCCGTCTTTGAGAGACCAGCATTGAAGTTAGGATCTGTGGGATCGATGCTTCGGGATTTGGAGCTTATCTTGAGCAAATGGTTCCTTAGAGACTTGCGTGCTTCTCTTCATGGAAGTCTCTCGTTGTGCCGGGCTATCATCTCCACCGACGGGCATCGACATGCACCAACAGCCCGTTTTATAGCGGTAGCGTTTACGCCGGATTGACTGGAGAGCGTGTGAGATGCAATGCTTACTATAGAGCAAGTTCTCAGTGTCGTCGAGACCTTGTCCCCCCAAAGGGTCCGCGGACATAATGGGAAGCAATGATGGATCGCTGATAAACAGATCTACAGTCGCTCAGAAGATGACAATAGCGGTTGACTAGAGATCAATACCAAACCTGGTCTTCGGTAATAGTAACTATCATAAGGCTCATGTGCACGTAGCTAGAGAACGTAGAGCGCGGTTCATCCGCAGAAACGTGCGTTGGTTGTCAAAACAGCCATAAACTGTCAGAAGACCCGAGATGGTCAGGATATCCCTTGTTCGAGCAAACAAGCCATAATGTGGTGGATGAGGCAGCGTTGGTGCTGGCCATGGCGGCATAATCGCATCCTCTTACATGTTAAAGCAGTGAATCTCATGGACGAGGATCGGATCCAAGATGTCTCATTCACTGCGGTGTATGCTTGGATTGTGTGCGACTGGTTTTATTTGTGCCGTGTCCCAAGCATTTCCCTGGCGATGCTGCTCGGACGAAAGCGTTCCGAGCGAGGACCAACCCAGCAGATTAGGGAGATCGTTCCGGGAACCTCAGCGTTGCAGCAGCTCAACGGCGTTCAGAGGAGGGGCAAGACGCGTCTTAAGCCACGGAATATAAGTAAGACCAAAACAACGGTTTAGCATTCCTCACATGCCAGCAATGAGAACGAGGGAACGGGAGGCTCAGAAACATCGCCAGTTTGGTAGGGACTGGAGAGTAAACCAAAGGCTAGAACAACCATGGCCTGTGCGTTTTATGCTAATTGCTGCTTTGTATCCGTACTGGTGGTGTCCGAATATTCGTAGGGCAAAGGCATCGACGACGGGTACCTGAGCGAAAGACACGCTCCTTCGTCCGTCGTGCTCCTCATCTCATCACCCCGGCACTGCAGCCATCGCGGCGCCGCGTGCTGTTGGCCTGTTGCTGCTGTAGCAATTTAAAGCTGGGACCCAGATCCGGCAATTGTAATTAAATTGGCCTGGCCTAGTTGCACCGGCGCCTGCATAAAAACGCGGCCAAAGCCGTTTCGCAGGGGGCTTGAGCGCAAGCACTATCGAGATGTGGCAGTAAGACAGGTGGAGGCATGTTAGTGATGACAGACGGCAGCTACATCCTGCGCTATCCAGGCTAAACCAAACCAGGGCTCTATGCAACCTTCCAGATGCACAAAGCACGGATACCCAGGTTGTGCCGCCCCTTACATTGGGTCGCAGTATCCGTAAGGTAAAGTCTTGCAGCGAATCCTGCCCAGCACCCAAGAAAACCCCCCCCGTCCGGCTTGCGCTGCGGTGCTCCAATCCAATCCCTCTCCGTCACTGTTGGGCAATCCATGCCTGGACTGGGTCGCTTTCTGGTCTCGAAAAAGCAACACCAGGCACAAGACGAGACTCTGAGTCTTGTCCGACGTCTTCTTCGCTTCGCTCATTCACGGCTCGTCCGCCATCCCAACCTTCCTTTCTCCGCCTCTCTCTCTCTCTCCCCCACTCTCTCTACACGATACAACGACAAACGATACCAACCGATTCGCTCCCTCGCCTTAATACACGGGCCTTTTCCTATTCCTTCGCACGACCTCTTTTTAATACCACATTCCGACCGCAGACTTTTGCGCTTCAGCCTTTTCCAAACCTTCTACGATCCAGTCTCCGTACCTACCGAACCCTTCATCCCACGCGATAGTCATCACAACCTTACGTCAAAGCGCCGATTTTAAGACCGACCACCACCCTTCCCCCGGCCGCTCTCGACAAGCTCTTCTTCCAACCTTGCGGTACCTTTTGATCAACGTCAAAAAAGCGACATGTTATAGCGGAGGAAACCTGCGAACTTTCAATAATCGTTGCGCCGCCGATCCAACTGCAACATCAGCGCCCAAAATGACTTCAAAAGAACAGGCCGGTGGGCCTAGCACGCCGACCGACGATGGAGGGTTTCCAAAACCTCAATTTCCTGGGCGCTCCGACCGACCAGGCCCGCCGAGTATCATCTCATCGCGAATGACCGACATCGCGTCCGACGACGGCGGGGAAGCCGTAGCCCAGACCTTATCCGAAAACCCGCGCAGAAAATCTGGTCTGGCTTCAGAAACTATGTCGCGGCCAGGGACGGCCAAGACAGGCATGTCTGGACCTCTCGAAGGCCGGAGACGAGGCCCGCCGCCACGGATGAACTACATTACCAGTCTCAACGAGAAGAGGGGAAGCATCGGGGGTGGCAGTACCGCTGGTTCGATCAGCAGCAGACCGCCCAGCTCGACAAGCCGAAGTCATGTTCCGTCTCTTACGTCTTCAGCCTTCTTTCGTCCCATGAGTTCGCAGAAGTTGCAGGCCCAGCGTGGTGGTTCACGACCTGCGACCCGCCAGCAACCTACGTTGGAGGATACCGAACCTACGCCCGAACACAACCAGAGTGCCGCCGCTGCAGCGGCAGTAGCCAGTGGGGGACCAAATGCTCGGCACAGCGTCATCTCAAACCCCGTATCGAACCCCGTTGCACGTCTCCAGCGACAGCTCAGCGACGACGACAATATGAGACCACCTCCATCTCGCGGAACCGAATACACCGATCAAGGAACGTACGATCGAATCACAGCGAACACGAGTCCGACTCATGGTCACTATGCCGCCGGTAGCATGTCCGAGAGCGTCACCCCGCTGCAACGGAACCAGCGCAATAGCCGGAACCTGAGCGTCAATATCGACAGGGGCTTCAGAGAACGAGGCAATCAACCTAGCCCCATCAAATCGCCCCGATCTTTCCGCTCAAGTTTCTTGCTGCCGGGTAGAAGTGATCAGAACAAGTCTAACCGGACTTTACCTGGCGGCGAAAAGCTCTCATCGACCGCATCCACGCCGCAGCTCAACCCCGTAGACTCTTCAAGACCCGCCGACAAGAACAACTTAAAGAAGTCCAAGACAAACCTTGGCTATGTTTTCCAGTACTTCGAAGGCAACACTGTCTTCTGCTTGGGAGGCCGGTTCCAGAACACCAAGCATCGGCCAGTCAACGTAGCCACTGGGCTATTCATAATCATCCCCGCGGTCCTATTCTTCATCTTCTCAGCTCCTTGGATATGGCACAATATCAGCCCTGCCATTCCCATCACTTTCGGATACGTCTTCTACATTTGCATTTCCTCGTTCCTCCACGCATCCCTGTCGGACCCAGGCGTAAGTTGTGGCACCCGAACTTGAGTAAACACATAGCTGACCGCACATAGATTTTGCCGCGAAACCTTCATGCCTTTCCACCAGCTGATTCGACGGAGGATCCCCTCCGGCTGGGGCCCCCGACCAACGACTGGACGCTGATCAAGTCAGCAGAGTCAGCCACGGCCGCCATGGAAGTTCCAGTAAAACATTGTAGAACATGTAACATTTGGCGACCTCCCCGGGCTCATCACTGCCGTCTTTGCGACAACTGCATCGAGACCCACGACCACCACTGCGTGTGGCTCAACAATTGCGTCGGAAAACGCAACTACCGATATTTCTTTGCTTTCGTCTCCTCAGCAACATTTCTCTCTCTCTACCTTCTTGGCGCCTCCCTTGCCCAAATCCTCGTACACATGCACCGATCCGACATTTCTTTTGGTAAATCCATCGACGACTTCCGCGTTCCCTTCGCCATGGTCATCTACGGCTTCATTGCCTTCTTATACCCTGCTGCCCTCATGGGCTACCACATCTTCCTCATGGCGCGAGGCGAAACCACGAGGGAGTATATCAACTCCCACAAGTTCATCAAGGCAGAGCGGTTCCGAGCCTTTACTCAGGGTAGCATGCTCAAGAACTGGATCGTCGTCCTTTGTCGGCCGAGGCCTCCCTCCTACTACCAATTCAAGAAGAGATACATTGGTGGTGATCAACGCCTCGGTGCTCTCCGGGATCAAAAGGTCGACATCCAGGGTATGGAGATGCAGAACGTCAGACCAACGACAGGGTTTCAAGGACCCGTCTCCTTGCGCAACGAAACAAGCACTACCGCGACATAATTACCCATTTCTTTGATTGTTTTCTGCGTGGCGTTGTTTAGGAGCCATCATACGTTTTAACGGATCCTGGATACCTGTAATGTATGTTTTCTATTATACCCAGCTTTACCTATCAAAGCAGGTAAACAGACATAAAACGCCGGTTCTCTCCCTCGGTGCAGGGGGCGAGGGCCCGTATTATTTTCATCGCGGCAATGTGCTACGATATCGGAGCCAGTACATAGACGTTTGGCGCAAATTGCTGCGCCCGTAACAAATGCTAGTTCATAACCCGAGTTGAAAGCTTCCACAATCATGTGATGTGTGTCTTTGGTTCCTGAATCACAGCTGCTTGCCTCTAGCAATCAATGATCAAACACGCTTCCACACCACCACTATGCTCAAACGAGACAGAACTGTGAATCACTAATTGGTGCAACATTTGGCAAACATATAAATAGGCTCAATGTTTTCACGTATCATCTGCCACGGTATTACTTTTATACACCAGAGGCAACAGCAAGTATCACAACGACATCAAGCAACAAAAAGGTGCCTGCAGAGAATAAGCTCTTTCATATTCAAAATCCACATCCCAAGCCCTCCAAGGAGCGATCAGCTACAATGGCTTACGTATTCGACGGATACTCCGAAGCCAGCTCTGGTCGGAACACACCTCGCGGCCTGCAAGGCTCTGGCTCTGGAGGGGGAGGAGGCCGTCAGCAGCGTCGTTATGGGAATGGAGATATACCCGTCGGTGGCCTACCTGGAGGGATCTACTACGGTACGGGTCGCTTCTACGAGGAGAATTTGCGCAATGAGCAACGGCGGCGGCAACAGCAACAGCAGCAGGAACGAGAACAGAATCAACAGCGGCACCGGCACGATCCGCAGTGGCAGCCAGAAGAGCAAGATGAGCAGCAACCTCGACGCGATCAACAACAACAGCCGCGGTACGCCTATTTCGGTGGCTTCCGCCGAATGGACGGCACTGGACCCGAGAACGATGCTGCGAGAGAGGCTTCTGCTGCTGCGAGAGCGTTCCTTGAAGCACTGCAGAGAGAGCACTGGCGGCGGAGACAGCAGGAGGCTGATGCCGGAGGTGGTGGGTTTGGCTTGGGCCCTGGTGATGGGTACGGAGAGGTTGGTGAGGATGATTTTGGCCCGACGGAGGAGATTCGGTTTGAGGATTTGTTTGGGGATATCTTTGGAAGTTTCGGTGGAGGAGGAGGGAGAGGAAGTATGGGCGGCAACGGTAGAGGCGGTCGCACATTCGAACCCCGTCCCGACCCCGGCACTGAACCTGGACCTGGACCTGGACCTGGACCTGATCAGGGCCGTACCGATGGTCTCGGTGGCCAAGGGGGTGGCGGGGGAGGAGGCGATCGCAACCCCGACCCGGCGGCTAATGGCCCCGGCAGAAACGGCGGTACCTTCCGGCCGGGCTACCAGTCCCCACCAGGTCACTATGGAGGTGGATGGTATGGTTACGGTCCCGCGTTCGGGGAAGCGGCACGCGCTCGACGGGGAGGGGCGGGGATGACCTTTGCTGATCTCTTCGAGCTTTATCAAAGCTGGCCTGGTCCGGATAATACGTTTGGGGATTATGACGAGTCGGGGAATATGCCTGATGCGTATTTTTGATCGTTGGGGTTCCTGGGTTGCCGGTCGGAGTTGGGGGTTCAGGACAATTTGGGGGTACATCAAGAGTGAGTACCGAGTAAGGTACTCAAGTAGATAGCTGGGCGTTGAATATTTCTAGAAGTACAATGATGCAAACTACCTTTATTTCGGTGTGGTAATAGCTCGTTCCAGAGATTTCTGTGACCGAGTTCTTCCTTTCTGCCCCCAATACACTCTTTCTGTTTTCGATGGGTCAGCGGCAGATAGTCAAGATGTATCGTGGCTTGAGTTTATTGGTCATACGGGTGGTAATACGGGTGAAATAATGGCCAGGATACGATCTCGATCATCCCACTCGGACCGTCAACATGGTTATACAAAGTGCACACCACTTTTACGTGGGTTCCTACACTAAGTACGTGGATCGCGTAGCTACTCAAGGGCAATGGGAGCCAAATTGATGAGTCCTTGGGTTGAAGAAGACGCTGGTCCTACACAGCCACCAAATGTTGTGCCCCCAATACGGCGCAGCAGAGTACGATCAGGCCCTTTTTCTTCCAACAGTATGTCTTAAACGTACCGTGCATGCCTACTATCTGCTTACGGCCGAAATGGTCAGCCTGTGCCATAATCCCGCTCCTTGCTTGAGTAGGGAAAACGTCTCAAGATTGGCCTATTCCCGTACACCCTGCTTGTTCTTGCATGCTAGTGAACTTACCTAGTCTTGACAAGGCTGACAACCTTGCTTATATGAGCGACGATACGAGGCGCTACATCCTCAGTTCGGGAACTTGGGAAGAGACCTGAAGCATGCCTTATGAGCACTTTTATCTCTTCGCACTGCTTATTCTCATACTTTCTCCGTTTGGAACTCATCGACTATCGATACCTTATACCACAACTACGCGCTATGTATTCCTTGTCTAGGCCTCACGATGTTAGCGTCTTAGCTGCTAGCAAGACATATGCAAATGAGAAGGATTGGAATCGTATGCAGCCTATCATTACCAAGCTCTATCGAGATGAAAACAAATCTCTGAGACAAGTAAGGGAGATCATGGAATCCCAATATCATTTTTACGCTACGTAAGTCAACCGTGAATCGCATGGGTGAGTCATGACTTTCTGACTGAATCTTGTCCAGAACTAAGATGTACAAGTCAAGATTAAAGACGTGGAAACTAGGTAAAAAACTTAAAGAAGCTGAAGTAATGGTAATGCTTCGACAAAAGGAGGACCGCGATGCCACCGGGAAGCCTTCTCAGTTCTTCCTCCGAGGTCAGCAGGTCAATTGGGACCGTGTGGTTCAGTATTTGAAACGCCGACCAGATCTGCAAGACACAAACGGAGTCGACATTGCACGATATATAGAGGCAAGCCTAGACATAAAGTGCTCGACACCTTCGCCAACTTTATCAAAGACTGAAATACCCCGTCGGATGGAGTCACATCCAGACTTGCGTCGGCTTGATGACTCCTTCAGGATTATACATTCCTACCTTGATGGGGCTTTCGAAACAGGCTTGGTCATCATAGACGGACGTAGTCTTTATGGACCAAACGGGAAACCAGCAAAGCAAAGGGTCAGGAAGTGGCATGACGACATGGCCGACGTCCATGCCTTACTGAGCAGCCGGAAAACAACTACAGGCTTCTGCCTTCTCAACAAGCAACTCGATTTACTGAAACAACTCATAAGGGAACAAGACCCTGAGCTGCTTATACTAACATTCCACGACATCCTTGACCTGGAACCCAAGCTCTATGAGACACTCCTGGTTTTTGTATGCAGAATGCATCAGGCCATATTTGGTGAACAACATCCACTCAGCTTGATCTGGGATAATCTCGTTCGCTTCACTGAAGATACCCGCGTGCAGTTTGTGCTGAGAACGGCCGTTTTCACTGCAAATGAGATGGAGGCGAAAATGGGGGCTCAGTCTGCGATGGCGGAGGCTCTAGAGTGCCTTCAAGTGGATGTACATAAGAAAAGCGGCTCTAAGGACACGTTTGGGAGTTCAAGAGATTGAAGCGCTTCCAAGGAGAATATCTCACACGCTTGATCAAGACCAACGGCGTATAATCGAGAGCGTTTGGGGCCCGAAGCGTATCAAATGAGTCTAGCATAAGTATATTGACTACATGGATTGTCTGTACAATATTGTGAGAATGTCGAAATCTTTAGCAGGATGGTGTCTCTTGGCTAACAGATGTACTCTATTGATCACAACAAAGATCGTGCTTGGAGGCGAAATCTCTTGAATGCTGCTAGTGATGAGAGCACATGTGGGAACAGAGTCTTCCTACCCTATGTCTATCCCATCCGGAAACGACGCCTCTGCGGAATAAAACGAAGGCCAGAAAAAGGCAGATTCTCAGGAATTTGCGATTCGTGTGAACCCAAATCTTCGATTCTCATAAATGCCAGTAAACCTATTCTCACCGTGAGGCCTGGGATAGACTCGAGAACTATAGCGCACGTTGCGTGCTCCAGAGGCGAGAAGCATATTGCCGTAAGTTTTCGGCCGAGGAAGGTATCTTCGTATCCGAAGTCTGGGGTAAACTTGACGACAAACTCTCCTTTTCCATCAAGGGGTTTCCGTGTTGTCGGAAGATAAAACATGTCGTCGTGCGAAGTACCCGAACGCCGACTGATCTTCCGATAGCAGAGGGGAGCGGTCTGGAAAGACCAGCATTCGATGTGAAGATACCTCGTACACTGCAGGATCGAAAAGCCAAGACCACCAGTCTCAAAGAATTCGGCCCATTGAATTGCGTTGCCCTGAGGCGTTTCCATCCAAACCTCCGCGTCAAAGTTTTCCGTAAGTTCCACTAACTTGGGAGGCCTCAGATGGAAATACCCCTGATGACCAAACAGCGTCTTCCCATTCTGCGATACCCACGACCAGCTTGGAAAGCCTGCCAGCCTGGCATAGTTCTTCCCTTCAGGTCGGATCTCCCATTGGAGTCCAACCAGAAAGGCGTGTTTCGAAGCAGTGGCGTCTACTACTGGCCAACCGGAGGCGACTATGGGAATGCCCCAATACGAAAAGCACCCTGGGTTAACTCGCGACCACTTCTTCAACACTCCAGACACAGCAGAGAGCCTATCGCTCGAGTAAGTCAGCTGACGATCGCAGTACTTTTGAAGGATAGCCCAGACACCGTCTGGGGTGTTGAGCAGAGTCCATTCGGGCCTCTCGTGATGCTCCAGATTCCCCTGCAAAGCAAGGGGACGTGTGAGGTGTTCGAAGCACATCATGTCATGGCACTCGAAAGAGACCTCGTAGTTGGAAAAGTAAAGTCTTCTCCTAGACAGACACGTCTCTTGAAACGTCCAACCCCGCGTGGACCACTTCGATCTCGAGATCTGGTTGAGTTGCCACTGGTGGCTGAAGTTTGTGACAATCTTTTGCTCACCAATTGTTTTGGTAATTGGAACGTGTTGCGTTCGGCCGAGAGACAAGCCCGGCAGCCCGTAGCTTGGGTCTTTGGCGCCGATAGCGATGATGCTGAGTTCTGCGTCGCCGTAGATCTGGTCCATCCTCTCCACCTGACTCATCTTGTGAGTCGCGTCATCTTGCCAGATGCAGTATCTGTCAATCCAGATGTAGCGGAAGCCAAGCTTGATGGTGGCCCTCATGGCATCCTGGATGACTGGCGGAAGGTCGTCCGGCAGATGAGGGTAAGTGTACTTGTCAGGAGGCGCGACTCCCCACACGTAGCTCAACGCTACGTAGCGATACCTAGTGCTTGGATCCGTGTTGATAATCAGACGGGTTTCGCAGTCTATGAGCTTGAAGTGAGGAAGAGTCTGCCAATTCGAGCTGGTACGACATGCGTCGTGATGACGCTCGCATAAGTGTATCCATGATCGGATTAGGCCGTAGTCGATTCTCTCTTCGCGCAAGACTCTGGCTTGCATCGGTAGGTCTAGAAGAGGCTGAGAGGGCTCCAAGATGGCGGTGGATGCAAGAGAGACCAGGCTGCCTGGTGCCTCTCGATGGGCGAAACGGATCCACGCTGTCAAGCCGCCGCCCGCGCTGGTATTGCCAAAGTACTGAGCAGAAGCTGTCTTGTAGTGAGAAGGATTCATGACAAGGAGGAACACTGCCGAATAGTCTGGAAGTCTCTTATCACTCTTCCGGTTGTCCTGAGCAGCAAAGTTGTAGAGCAGACTGGCAGGAATCGCCAACATAACCTTCTCCTTCTCAGCCATCGGATAGCGGGTGAGATTGAAGCCGATGGAGAAGACCAAGTCACAGAACGGACAACTTGGTATCATGCCTGGGGGGTATTGACTAATTCTCTCCTCACGGGTGAGCGGTCTCCAGTCTCCAACATGTTGGATATATTTGGTCCAGCTAGTCTTGTAACTCTGAGCCGAGCCAATGGCCGGAAGACCGTCGAATCGAGCCGGGTTGAAGACTGCCTGCAGGTCTAGCTTGGTGCAGTTGCGACAAAGTCGGTCATCTGAGAAGGACATGATGATCTTGCATGGGTGTCTGTTAGTGGTGCTGTTGAGATGAGGAAGTGAGGTTGGCGAGGCTCTGGAATCCTGCCTGCGCAACTCGGCATTAGGCGTAAGCGCCCCTGTCACGACTTTTCGTCCAATTACATCCGCTTCATGCAGCAGCGGCTTGGCCAGCAACGTCGCGCGAGACATCGGATCCAGCACCCATGGATTACGCAAAGACCCAACCAAGCTCACGCCAGGATAACAAGCCAGACTCTTTATGTGATCCTCGACTACCTTATGAGACAAGCTGCATGCTACCCTGTCCTGTCTGAATTAAAATAGAGCGTATCCGTATTCAACAATTGGTCCCAATTGCCTGGCATGGGTTGTGTTCCCGCGGCAAACACCCAGTCGAGATCCAACCTCATGTCCATATCGATGCCCTCGTGATCTTCCCGCTGATCCCCTTGCTGAATGGGAGATATGCTCTGGAAACTGCCTATGCTCTTCGACCCGGCCGGGCTATCGGTACGCGCTCGTTTCCGAGACGCCTGCTCGCTCTGCCGTAGGGCGCCGAGACCGGGGGTTAGCATGGCGTTACGTGAAGGACAATGACCTAGCCGGCGAGAGCGCAACTCCCACTTCCGTTGCAGCATGAGAAGAAAGTCCCGAGACCGTTTGGCGCACTCCCAAGTGCCTGATAGCTCCTCTAGAGCCCGGAAGCATACGCTCAAGTGTGTCGTCGTCTCTGTGGTCCTCTTCCGTCTGCGGCGGGATATAGATGCGAAGATGAGTATGATGGCTGCAGAGAAGATGATGGCTACGCCTTGGATAGGAACTCGCTTGAGGGAGTATTGGCGTTCATAAATGATGATCAGTTTTGCTACTGCGGCTGCTGACTCAATGCACATTTGTTGCGCATGCATGTAGCCGGGACCTTGAGGTGGTTGAGGTTGGATATAGCTCGACGACATCCACGGCCTGTGGGCATGTATTACGTTTTGATAGTATTGCATACTGCGCACGAAAAAGGTGAATAAAAAGCTGCACGAGAACAGGAATCAACAACATGGATTTGTACTCACTGTAACAGAAGAACATGAGGAAGGAATGACCCCTCTGAGTCTTCTAGATCGACTTGTATCGTGCGCGGCAAGTTCTCCTTCCAAGCAAATAATATCGAAACGATCTTCTCGTTGTTGGCCTGTAATATGTCCCGAGGAATCCGAGAGTTGCCATATCTACCGGAACAGCCTTTAGTACCATTAATCTAGACAGAAACATTGATATCCGGGCAATTCACTCACAGTGTGTGACCAAGAGGTGCCATGATCTCGCATAACTCTATCCTGTGAAGACTAACAGCCTCGGCGTGGTCCTGTTGGGGTACTGGTGAGTTGCCGTTGCTAAGACGCGAAACGTAAGGGAACCATTGCTCGACCCGTCCATCTGACAAGTCTACTATCGGTTTCTCGACTGTGATGTCGTCCATGCTGATACGGAAAGGTCGACCTCTGTAGAATCCGAGCGTCCTAGAAAATCTTGAAGTCAGAACAGAGCCGCCGGCAACGCTGGGAATGGCGCTAGGCGCTTACTGATCCATTGTGTATGCGCCCCAGAATACGGCTCGACGAAGCTCGGCTTCGGCAGGTTTAAGAATCCCGCTGTTTACGTACGGTGTCATGTCCTTGTGCAAAGCCAGATCAAACGCGAGCCGAATTGCCATTGCTGGATCGAGAGCTGTTAGTTTCTCGTGTGTCTCAGTCCACACATGGGATGGGCTGGGGCAACTGTACCACTATACAACCAACCGCGAGAGTCTCTATTCGCTCCTATTTCATGGCTACTGAGGACAATCATTGCTTGTACCGTAGAGACTGAAGGCGAGTCTAAATCGATCTCTAGAAGAGTCTTGGCTCGTGCGGCGAAGAAATCCGGAAGAGACTTTGGGAAGGTTATAAAGCTCGGGTGATATCGTGTTTCGAAAGTAGCGCCTAACGAACACCTGCACAGAATTAGCATGATCAAGTAATGATCAACCTAGAGGTGGAATCTATGTTGAATATACATTGCATTTCTGAGTGCCTCGGAGTAATATGGCGTGTCTTCTTCTCGCTCATGCCAACTATGCTTCGCTTCTTCGTAGAGAGTCCTATCGACCACATGCTGAAAGGGGTCCTGCCATGTGAAGTAGAGATTGATCAGATGATCTTCGAGATCTTGCGGTACCTGCTTGCCGTAGCCCATGTTGTCGAGGTGTTCCTGGCCATCATTGCGCACGGTTCGATCCATAGCCAAAGTATCGGCTCCCACAGGTAGTTCCATCAAGCTGAAGTTAGATGTTGGTCCGAAATACGAGATACGACCATTTGGGCCAATTTGAAGAGACCCCAGTCTATCAGACAACTGGTTGACGAGGTCCTCTTCCGTTGTGCCCGAACCGGCGTCGTCGTCTCCATTGTCGCTCAAAGCAGCATCTTCGGAGTACGTGCTCAACAGAGGATGGCTCGGGGTCCGGACGCTGGCGACGCCAACACCAGTTGCAATGATGTTATCGGCATTTTCAGAGGGGCTCCATTCCCAATCGGCAATCGCTCTCGTTGTCAAGTTCAATGACTCGTCTTGAACCGGCGGTACATGTCCGGCGATTACATCGTTGCCTAAATTGAAGGACGACGGGTCAAAAGGCAGTGTAAAGTCTAGAGGAAGTTGATCTGGAGGTAATAAGGTATCGCTAGATGGAGCACAGGGTGCCAATACTTGCGGCTCTAAGGATAAAACTGGGTCAATTGGTGGTGTTTTGTCGCGTTCTAGAGCCAGTTGGACCGTCGAAAGGCCTAGAGTGTTTAGTATTCGGGTCAGACTTTTGGCCTCTTCTGAAGGCATAGGCGGGAGTTGGAGGCCCTTTTGATTGATAAAGTGACAAAGCTGGTCGACCCTGTTCGACAGTAATTCGACAGCGACACGCAGTGACAGTCTAACGTTTGTCAGCCTCGATCAGTTCGCTCGAAATGAAGAAACTGCAAAGAGAATCTAACTTGCGCTTGTCCTCTCCGGCTTGGTAACGACACTCTCGGCGCTTAGTTTTGCAATTGGAACACGAAGGCGTTGCGCCGTCGCACTATTGGCAATCTGTTAATGGGATGCTAGAGGATCAAGCCTGAAGCCATCGTCGTGATATGAAAGTTGGAGGATGGAAACATGACAATGAGGCTGGGGAAGGCAGCGCATACCTTGATCTTGCTTTCCCGACAGGAAATGCAGGCCGTAGTGACATGCCTCCTCTTGGCGTCGGGCTTCGATGATTGGGGCATACTGCCTTGCCTCTCTGGAACTTGTCTCCCGGATTCTATGTTGAAGGTGTGGAGGTTGATGAAGTTGGGCTGGGGTAAATCAAAGAGATGACGGGGCGGTGGACACTTCTTGGCCGCACCGAGGCCCACTGGTAGGAGGACATTCTTTTACAGCATGAACCCCGGTGTGCTAGCTACCTGGACCAAATGGCTTTGTAAGTTGCTTCGGCCGTGTTCGTACCGGTACCTAGCGCTGACCGCGGGGCGCGTGTGCGCCACGCCCGGATGTACAGGGGACTTGCTGGACGCTAAAGTGACTATGTTGCACCGAATGAATGTGCACTAAAGTTCACTCCAGATGTGGGCAACAACGCACTGGACGGTTACGATATGATTCGATGGTCTTTCCACTGGGATTGGGAAAAATTGTAAGATGTTTTCTCTTACTTGAGGTAATGCAGTGGGAATTATCAATACTATCTGGAAGACAACGACTATTCTTGTTAGCGTTTCATTGCCCACATGGAATCTGCGTGGATATTCGGATTATGGATCAAGAACATCTCGAGCACACTTTTGCAACCACCAGCCACTTGTACATGAATCAAGGATTTACAGCTACAGAATTACACTTTGTGTATCTTAATTGATGGCCGAAACACGCGGTAATGCTACTCATCTAGGTCAAGTACTATTGGGGCGGGATTAAGTCAACTCGCACAATTCTGCATATCGAGTCGTACATCCTCATTCTAATGAATCGTAGCAATAGAATAAAGATAGCTGGTCAGTGCTAAACCTTAATCTTATTCAAAGTATGCGAAAGAGTGCCGGTGTCTTTCCTCTAGACATGAAGCACTGACATGTCCGAAAGAGCCGGCCCGCGGGACTCCCCGAGTCACTCCTCTTCAAACTTGTGGCATGATGGGGATCTCGGGTCTAATGGCTTTCCAATGGAACTATTTCCAGGAAAGAGATGTAATGAACAGCTTTCATGATTTAGCCTCTCCTCTGGTTGGCACTTTGAGAATTGGAATTGAGTCTGGGATTGCTACCTGATGACTGATTTATTCCCATCGAGGCAAGGCGTTCGTGATATGCCCTTGCTCATATGATCCGGAATCTTCTCGAGACGGCATGATGGAATAACTACCTTACTTTCAAAACCTAACTGCCATAGACTAAGAGTCGCATTATTAAGCCTCCTAGTACGCGTATCGCACGTGCTCACAGGGACCTAAACACCATTGGCACGTTTGAGGCGTTAAGGGAGCTCGAGCACGTCCTCTGGCTTGCAAGACTAATGAGCCATTACTGAAAAGAACGCCTTACTCGAAGAAGAAGTTGCATCCAGTCCAATGAAAGGCCTTTTTCCATCCTTGGATTTTTGCTAGTAGTAAAGCCACAGCGTAGAGCAGCCTTTAAATTCTCGGTACCGTGCCGAAATGATTCCAGACGAACTTAGCGACTGAATCTGATAACCAAAAATCTGGTCCGAGGTCAAAGTCAATCTCCTTAGCCAGAAACGTAGGGACACCCACATGAGTCTAGATTCGACGAGAAATCAAGCGGCGCCAGATTTCTCTAAATCACGTGCTTCATCCTCATGATCACTTCTCAAGACGATGCTACTGGATTATGATGAGTAATGGTATCCTGAAAGCTTAGTCGGAATCATAGTCCGGGGAAGATCTGGAATTTGAGCCGCACTAAGATCTCATAGGACAATCGGAAATCGGTTTCCGAAGTCCCCACCTACCTTGGCCCCAGAAGTCAGGTAGACCCGGAGGCAATTGTCATGCAACAAAGTCCAATTTCTACGTTCGTCGCCGAATATTGACTCATAAGTCGAGATGTTTCCCCAGGTGATCAGCACGAGGGGGAGAGATTCTGTGACGGTGAGCATCTCCGTATGGGGCCGGTTCACGGCGGACCCATCCGGAGCTCAATCGGGTAATTCTGACCGGTAGAGGAGCGCCCGATCCCTAACTTAACCTCGTCAGACAATGCCCTGTTCGGACTTCTGCAAGTGTGCGAATCGAATTGATGGAGAGGACTACCAATCTACAGTTCCGCATAGGCTGTGGTTGGATCATCTCAACAGACTTCCAACGCCAGAACTAAGTCTCGATATTCTACCGAATGTGGAGAGCGCCAGCCCACTACACGGTCCTTTCAAAATATAAATACCCCGCGCTTCTCCCTCCACGAGCGGTGGGATATCAGGTAGTGTCATAGAATACCTTATATTACAACGATCCATCACCTTTCTACTAACACCTGAAATAAGTACAACAAGATGGCTATCAGAAACGGACAAGCGAACGGCAGTCACTCTCCCAGCACGGCCTCCTCCCGCCTATTCTCAAAATCGGAAACGACAGCAGTAGAACGATTTGCGACCACTTGTTCCCAACGAGCCTCTCCAGATGATTACCCGCTCGCCGCATCCATCGAAAAGAACATACCGATCTACGACCTTCCTGAATACTCAACCTTAAGCGACACAGAACGCACAGAGCTACAAGACGAATGGTATCGCGTACTGATTTCTGGCCCAGGCGTCTTTGTCACAAAGGGCCTTTTCCGCGACAAAGCGCTGATCCAGTCAGCAAACGCAGCTTTCGCATCAATCATAGAGGACGAGAAGAAATCAGGAACCGCAAAGGGTGACCACTTTGCCAGCGCCGGCAAAAACGACCGCATCTGGAACTCGTTCAGCAAACACGGCCTCAAGGACCCGGCGTCCTTTGTCAACTACTATTCGAATCCATACCTCGGCTTGATCTCGAGCGCGTGGCTTGGACAGGGTTACAGGATCACAGCGCAGGTCAACAACACCAAGCCCGGTGCCTCGCCGCAGGTCTGCCACCGCGACTACCATGTTGGTTTCCAGACCGCAGAAGCAGCCGCGCAGATCCCACGAGCAATGCAGGTCGCCAGCCAGCTCTTGACGCTGCAGGGCGCTGTAGCCCACTCCGAGGTGCCTCTCGAAAGCGGTCCCACAAGGCTGCTGCCGTTTAGCCAGACGTTCGAGGCCGGCTACGTCTCGTACCGCCGCCCCGAGTTTAACGATTACTTTTTGAACAATTACGTCGCCTTGCCGCTCGAGGTGGGAGATGGGCTCTTCTTCAACCCGGCGCTCTTCCACGCGGCTGGCAAGAACGAGTCGAGCGATGTGTACAGGATGGCGAATTTGCTGCAGATCAGCAGCCCCTTTGGCAAACCGATGGAGTCTGTGGACGCCGTGCCACTGGTGGAAAAGAGCTGGGATCACTTGCTAAAGTTATACGAAGACGAAGGGCTAAGTGCCAGGGTAAAGTCGTTCATCGCGGCTGTGGCAGAGGGATACCCGTTTCCTACGAACTTGGACAACAACCCGCCAAGAAATGAGGGTATGGCGCCAGAATCAGAGCAGGACAACGTCACACAGAGTTTGGTCGAGAAACGAAGCAGAACCGAGGCAGTAGAAGCGCTGAAAGCATTTGTAAAGAGATCGTCAGCATAAGTGTATACGTATAGCTCGCCTGTAGAACAAGCGCCCACTCAAGGTATTTATTGCAAGTTGTTTGATGAATCCCTCTCATGTGGTCCGGATAGAGTGCAGTCAATCAAACCTAACCTGTTACGCAATACTGATGCAGATGTTGAACATGCTTATTGCCAAGACCATCTGGACTAGATGTATATCGATGGCTTTAAGTCTTGGATGTAGGTTAACTTTTCAATCCTAGGAATATTGGCATTGTCAGTGAGAGGCTCTTGGGTACCGATTTGCTCAACTCCCGCACCTATCGCATCTACGTTGATCGACGAACCCCACATCTACGAGGGATCGGGATTGCTTATGCACGTCAGCAAAAGCGGATGCGCCCTGTTCGAAGCACAATGAAGACAAGCGCATCAGAACGCATGAGGCTACGGAGATAATCAAGCACTGGCTGATGCCGGCGCCATGGCTCGTCAGCCTCGAAAGTCGCGTCCAAAATAGATGCGACTGTTAGCCGTCCTCCCCACGTGTGCCTCCTCAGTGGGCCATTGCCGCCTTAACGAGGACAATTTACCACAATTATCATTCAATTGCCGCAATTTGCCTGCCACCTTAGGGTTTGATTCAAATAGCTTGAGGATGTGACGTTGCTCCCTGTTACTTGCTTCTTGGTCTGCTGCAACTTTCGTGTTCCGGCCTTGTCCACGTAGGCTCCGATCCACGCGCCATGTGTGTCTTTGGTCAAACGGGATTCTGTGGGATTGAAAATACCATCATCAGTTGGGCCACATCGAACACGGATCAACCAGTCGGAACAGGGGCTTGAACAGCCATCGGTCCCATTCCTCAGCTGTCGTCGGGCAACTAGCGTCGACGGACACGGGGGAGAGCAACGTTGAGAGTGACATCACATGTGAGACCTCCATTCCTTCTACTGCCGATACGAGTTTTTGCGCACGGAAAAGTTGGGGGCCACACAGGCACACACTGACCGCTAAAATGCTTCTTGCGGGATCTGCACCGCTGAGTGGTGATCTACCATGCCCACACTTCTCGTGGCGTGCCAATGTCACGATGTTTGACAGCTTTCCAACGTTCCCAGGGAGAAGCTTTCTTGTATTTATTGAGACACGAGTCCCCACCTCTTTGCAGGGTCTGAATCAGTCCCTCACCGCGCAAACGATTCACCATAACGTAGCTAGAAATACCATCATCTTCCCGCAACCATCTCCAAATCCTGTCACACATTCCACAAGTTTGTGTGTCCCATCAAAAAGACAAACGTTTCCATATCGACTTTAAGCCAGGGTTCTCGTCACAAAGGAAAAAAAAAAGCACCTTCTTCTGACCCGCACCTTATCAACCTTCCAAGCATCTCAAGATGTATGCCAGCAACCTCATCACCACTTTCTCCGCCCTCATCGTCGGTGCCTCCGCTGCAACTCTTCCCTTCCGGTGGGCCGGCGTCTCAATTAACGCCGCGACCGCCGAGCGTCGACAGGCCACCGGTAGCGCCACCTATCCTACAGCACCAGGAAACATCTCCTGGAGTGCACAAAACTACATCTGGGGCTGCTCACCAGGCGGCTGCAGTGCTCGCTTCAACATTAGCGCCCCCTCAGGCTACAGCTCCGGCGCGCCCGGCTTCAACGTGGTCTGCAGCCCTATCTACATCCAGCAGGGCTGGGTCCCCTGCCTGAACCCGGACAACAGCCCCCTCGGCGAGGGTTCGCAGGTCTTTACTATTTGGACGGCCGGCGCGGACCGTGAGCGCATGTACCTTGGTGTCGAGCACATTTACAAGCGTCAGGAAGATGGGCTCACTTGGAATGCCACTGCTGGAACCGACATCCTCCCTGTGCAGAACATGAGCATTACGTTCCCTGTCAATACTGTCGTAGTTCTTGAGTCTTGAGTAATGGCGATTTCGCAACGGCGTTCAGTGCGTTCTTCAATTTGCACGAGGCATGCATTCAGCAAGGAGTTTGGTTTATGGACATTTCATTCATGTAATTACTTGATCTACATCTTAATGCTTAATTCTTCGTTCGAGCACCGCATATCTGGCTGTCTCGCAGATAAGGGGCCCCAGAATCGTCTTACTGGTTGAAGCCACCCTCGCCCAATGAGACATCTACCACGGCTTCTCGTTAATGGGAGCGAGAGGAGTCTGGCACTTTGCCGCCAGAGCGGCTTTTGCCTCGTCACTGTCGATGCTCACACAGGGAGTGTCGATACCTCCATCTACGCCATCACAGATGATGACGGGTTCCCCACCGCAGGGTGACGTGACGTTAAAATTCTTGAATTTGATGTTGTGGCAGACGGCGTCGGGGTTTGTGGAGCATGTTAGCTTCGCAACGGCATTGCCGTAGATACCGCTGGTGTAGCCGGTGAAATTCTCGAAGAGAACGTTGGAGACATTCATGCCGGACGGGTATTGCTCGCAGGTAGTCTCGTTGATCTGCCGCGAGTTAGTCAGGGGGACTAAGGTTCATTCGTATATGACGATTGTAGAGAGAACTCACGTTGAAGTAACATGAGTCAAGAATAACTCCGTAGTCCATCCGAGCAACCCAGAAGTTTCTCCAATCATTATCAGAGATGCGTGGCCAAGAATGTCGAGACGGAGAAATACTCACTTGTAGGTAATGTTGTCGACGAAACCGTATCCCACGTTAGGGCCAGCCCAGGTCTTGATGCGGGCACCCGAGTACTGATGCCTGTTTAGAAGAAGGTAGAATCAGAATCATTGGATCAGACTCACATCTCCGTTCAACATCCAAACGTTCTCAATGTGAACGTCCTTGACGTATGACATTTCCCCGGCGTATTGTCCCAAGGAGCCGATCGACTGAGTCAAGTTAGCGAGAATACAGCATGAGGAAGGCCTTGCAAATATATACCTGGCCGTGTGTACCTGTAATGATGTTAGCCTGCTGTTGATCAACCGCTAGGGGTTATACCGCATACCGTTGCAGTACATGGTGTTCACGTAAAGATTGGTGTTGTTGGACTTCGGGGAGAAACAATCGTCGTCAATGTTGACCCAGACACGCTCAATCTTTACATCCTGAACATCCAAAGAGTCGAAGAAGTCAGTGTTCTTGGGGATAATGCTGCCGTTGTTGGTGATAGCAGTGGCGATGACATCTCTGTACTCAATATTGCTCGCTGGTACGCAGGTGTTTAGCCCGAATTTCACGGCCCAGGGAAAGCGAACAGCGGCTGCAGTGAGTCTGACTTACATCCGACGACGAAGTTGGTCCAGCAGGGAGAATCCTTCATGTGGATGCCCTCAACTTCTAGATTCGTGGTGTTCTCAACATAGAAAAGGATGGGCCGGAGGTATTTGTTGGCGGGGTTCTGGGCTGTTAGTTGCTTGTCGTTCATGTGACCGGGCCACCGTGGACTCATACCAAAATCCTGAAGGGGGTCAGCATGGTGCTCTCCAGATCGTCTAAGGAGTCGATACTTACGATCCGATGCCAGAGTTGAACTCGTTCCACCAGCGTTGGCTATGCAAAGTGTTAGACATGGGTGAAAGCTTCGACTTTCGGTCTACGAACCCTTGTCCATTGATGACACCATCACCGTAGATCTTGATGTCCTTGCCACCCCATTTCCCTACACAAGACTATGAGCAGGGCGTCCAAGCATGTGCAACACCGGGACCGTCTTACAGAACATGATTGATTTCTGCCATGTCGCATTAGCAGGGGTTGATAACTGCATGAGACCGGATCTGGGACTTACTTGGAAAGGATGCGTGAACGCATTTGTCTTTTGTTAGATGTCAGCAACGCCGCGTCTCTTCAGCCTCTGCGGATGCTTTGTGTATAACGTACTTGCCAGTATTTCACATCATCGGTGAACTAGCCCACTCTGTCAGACCAACCTAGGCAGCCCTTCCGTTGATAGATCTCACCTTGATCTCGCCCTCCAGCCGGACATGAATGTCGTTGAGGAAAGTCAAGTCGAGAGCTTTTGCGATGACGAACGTTTGGTTCTTGGGAAGATACAAGGTGCCACCGTTGTTGGCTTCCTGAAGACCCTTCTTGAGTTCCTCAGACACGTCATCCGTGGCGTTCCGGGAAGCGCGGATCGTGAAGGTCTTGCGTCCACACCCTTGGGATGGAGGCGTGTAGGGATGCTTGTCACGGAACTCTTCCAGAGATCTGGGTACACCCGCCGGCAGTTCGATCCCGTAGGAAGAGACCACGCCGATTACGGCTCCGAGCAGGGCCAGTGATCGCGAGAAACGCATGATGGAGAGGAACGAGAAAAGTTAGAGGATGAATGCGATGCAACGATACTAGCCCGATCTCGCCTTCATGTGAGATGCTCCAAAGACAGCAATCGGAGGGCAGGCTGCCCCATCTTTAAGGCTTTCAAGCGATCAGGAAGCTTGCTCCGGGGAGGATGTAGTCCAAGTGGGGACGACGAAGGTATTCCCACTTCTTTTGTCTTCTCTTCAAAGTTCGGGCGAGCATCACATCGGACGGAGTGACGGAGCACTCCCCCTGGACACGGAAAAGTCAAATAGACTCATTGGACACTGCAGGGCTAAATTGACCAGGCACGGCAACGTTAATCGTAGTTGAACTCGGAAATAAGATGACCAAGGGGACGAGGAACCCCGCGCGCGCATCGGAAAAGAGTCGAACAAAACCCCTGGCCATCGAACGCACTTCACAAAGCATTAATCGCGAAGCGGTCTGGCGTTGAAGACGGTGGAAGATCGCGTGGGGAAGCGTTGGGGTTGAGTCTTGGGATCTTGGAGGATGTGCGGGGGAGACCCTTGGAATTGTTGTAGTGCAGGGCTCGGCACAGGCCTATTGGTGCGAAATTCCTTGGCCTAGCCCAGCGACCTCGGAAAAAGGCACCGCACTGTTGGTAGCTAAGCAGACTGATCTTGTGCGGCCATCGGCGGTGGGCTTTGAACCGGCCGGAGATCCGTCTCGTTGGTACCGAGGTGAACGGATGCGGAGGGGGCGGGGATGCCACGGAGGTAAGATTCATGCTGACGCTTACTCGGGCTTGGATCACATGCACTCAGGAAAGCAACCACAATAAATTCATACTGACGTATAGATTCTTTGAAGATACACTGGTGTATGACATTGTTGAGATACCAGTTCAGTCATATTTGCGGCGTAACGTCTTGAAGAAGACGTGGAAGAAGACGGTTTTTGACATAACGGATGGGGCAGGGCTTGTGCTTTGATTCATTGAGCAGTAATCCTTATGCTTCCTCTATCTGACAGAGCGTCCCGAACGTTGCTTCGTGAAACTCTTTAGATAATAAGATTTTCATCAGAACCTCTGTTTCAAAAACATCCAGCACTGTGGAAGGTATCCATATTCCCTACGATTTCTCATATGCCTTATAGATACCTCTTGCCTGCCTGGGGCAGAGTCTACTTCTAGTCGGACGGCCCCAGGAGCGCTGCAAATGTGATCTCCATCTCGGATCGTTATCCGTCGCCCCTTCCCCAAGATTCTTCCAGCTCGTCAATATTACCATGCGAGCTTTGGAAGATGGATTGGTCCAGAATTCGAAGGAGTAGTCCATCCAGCAACGCTTACAACTGAATATCTTGCCATTATTTTCGGCAACAACTCTCGGAGGCTTCTGCCCATATTCCCAAATACTGCCTTCCTCTGTAGTATTTGTGGTGGACCCAAGAGAAATATCATGATGGCTGCCGGTATTCAAAACCTCTTTCAGGTCACCGGCTGTCCAAGTTCGGTGGTTATGAGGGCAACACCCGCTGAGGTACCAGAACCTGTCGTCATTTCCTAGAAAATTTCCCCTAGGTTTGGCATGGCGCATATCTCTTTTTAACTGAACGATGTCCCGTGTCTTGAGGTACAGGAAACCACTGATGATTCGGCATTCGGTCAGCCGTTGTATCCAGAAGTTCGGGGTTCTATAGAATTCCCTGGAGACAGGCATTGTTTTCGCGACGGATCCTGACGGCTGCAGGCGCTGTGACCTCAAAAGCCCTGCTACCATGTTGAATCGCAGTTTCCACGGCAGGAAGTTTGACCACATCTTGGCGCCAATGTAGAGATGATCCTCGGGAAGTAAAACTTTGGGAGCAGCGCATGGTCGTAGATTGGACGAGTGAGAGTTAACGACATCGCGATGATGTCCTGGCTTCGACGGAACGGACAATGAGGGCGAGTGGAAAGTTCCGCAGTCTTTGCATGCGATATAGAGAGGTTTGGCATACACGCCGTCGCATTCTACTAGCTGTAGAAGTCGATGTTGGGCTTCCTTGCCTAGAGTCATGGGCTGGTGTCCGACTTTGTTTCGTATCGTACTATGGAGGATTGGTAAGATCGCCTGGGATTCAATAGGGAGAAGTTTCTGGATTTGTAACAAAATTTCGGCAGGTAAGGTGTCCAAGAAACTCATTGCTGGCGGTTATGCTGTGCAACTGGGTACTTATTAGATTGGGATGAAAGAGGGACACGATATGAAGACCAAGCGTATCAATGGTATTTCAGAGACGGGATGCCATTCTTCTTGTTTTGCGGTTGGGAGTCGAATGAGGTTATACTAAGACGTTGTTGGGTGCCTAGACAGACGTTGGGCGCTGAGCTAGGGTCTATGACAAGTCGTCCAAATGGGTCTGATATTTTGAGTCATCCTCGCCACTTTCAAATTTCGGTGGTCATTCACCACATCATTAAGTAGGCTTAGTACCTAGTATAACTAGCACCTCAATCCTGTCATTGCGACCAACGGTGGGAAAAAGTTGTCGCGTCACTCCCTGCGTAAGTGCAATTTATATTTGCTGCCGACTTCACAGTCATCGGCGGCATCGGCGGTGCGGCGATTACTAGGGCACGTTGTTTTATGACTGTTGGTCTCTGCTGCTAACACAACGATCGCACCTCGAAATAGTGTGATAAGGTCATATAAGGTAAATAATGCTTCTTCATAGGCAGCCATTTTTCTTATCATTCCTTTTACCGATTGACTCTTTCTCGTCGCCACGGCCTGAGTACCAGCCTGAGTACCATCCCTCAACCCCGTAGGATGTGGATGGGTCTTCATCCAGAATTTGAATACTTATTTGCATGAGGTGGCTTTGAAACATCATTTCTGGAGGCATGTAGAATTCAAATCCGGTCAAAATTTCCAAGGGAAATGACGGAGAACTTGAAACTAGGCAACTCGCGAAGGGCATCAGAACTCAGAATGACGCCATCATTCTTCGTTACTGCACGCGGCCTATTACCTGTAACTTAGGACTTATACCAATTAAATCTTACACGCGCTTGAAGTCACGAAAGAACATAAGATCAAAGGAATAGAAACGTAGATGATTGAGTCATTAGCCACGATCCAAAGAGTAATGGCCGCTTTGGGGAAATAAGTAGTCTGTGGAGAAGATTGATGTTTTCAACTCGATCAAGTGAGAAGTCAATTCTCTCTAAGCTTCCATTACGCGTCTTGTCTTCTTTCTTTTTTATAACATTGAAATTTGAGTAAAAGGATACCTAGTCTGAGTAGCCCGGCATGTTATACAGTTCGGCAGATGCACGCAGAAGTATCTATAGGTCCCTTTATGTCCCAAACTTCGAAATAACTCAATGTTTGACTGGGCTATTGGATAAGTATACAGATATTGTTACAGTTTTATGACCGAAACTTTGGAACAATAGCATCAAGACTTGCCCGGATGTTTGGATTCCCCAGTGCTACTATGCCCTGGACGCACGGGGCCGCACACTACCTTGGTGTGACTTGGGTCAAGGTCTCCATCTTCGGGCGCTGTGTCCCATACTCTCAGCTGCGATTTAAGGCCAATAGAATGATTTCCCCGGGACATTTAGCCCGTCAGTGGTCTAGAAGGGCCTTATTGCAGCGTTGATGCAAGGGTGAATGGGATGCAATCCCACCGGCTTTACGCTTATTGAACCTATTCTAAAGACGTATCAACGAGCCACCTATTTCCCGGACGTTCCGAGTGACGCCAGTTCCCAGGAATTCGAGTACCTGTGGCTTGATATGGCTGGTATGAGAAAAGACTTCAGCCTGGAAGCAAATGAGCAACATCACGTAAAGTGACAACTAACATCCAATATCTGAGAAGCCAGTAGACCAACAGCGAGTCAAGAACTGCCGAGTAGTGGGTTCCGCCCCTGGTCGCCATATGCATGTGCAGGCTTCGTACGCTGAGGAACACACAGAGATCCCTCTTCACTTTGCTGCATTCGACTCATTTTCAGGACCATCCTTGCTCGCTGCTCAATTGTCATGGTCTTTTCAGTATTGGGCCTTCCGAGCGCGTAAGAGACACAAGGTGTCAAGAAAGAATCCCTAACATAGAAGGTTCAGTTGTCTTCTTCTACAAGAACTACCATCTGCGCGTTGTTTGTTTGGCTCAGCAACATTATGATTGAGTGCCGCTCCTGTGTAACTGTCAGACGACCATCGCTTAATGCTGGCCGCCGCAATCCGATCATACCTTGCCCTGCAACTCCATCACTCCGCATAAACTGATCTCGGACCATTAACCCAACACTGGAAATGCCCGCCTTTCTTGGCAGCGCAGAATTTACAGTATAAGACGTCTGTAGCTTTGTGGAAGACGACTGGAGCAACCGCCAGCGTTGGTTGACCTTCAACGCCTCAAGTCCTAACGCTATGGTCTTCACACCATACCCATATTCGCCAAGATCACTAAGATCTTGAAGTATTACAAGGATCGTGGAGCAACTAGCAGTTTTAAATACCACCATGACCTACGCCGACATCGGTGCGGGGCTCTTGGCTGTCTCGACCCTGTTCTCTCCCGGTGTCTGCTTCGCGGCAACCGACAGGATTCCCGATTCAGTAACGAGCCGGACCGCTGAAGCATCACGCACCGATATTCCACCTGTATGCCATTCTCTTGCAATAACGAAACGCTGGCATTTGCAACCGCTGACAAAGTTACCTAACAGTGTGATGCTCTCATCGCTGCAGGTCTGGCAGACCGTCTACTTCTCGCAACTGAAGCAGGCTACGAGGCACGGATTTCGACATACTGGTCTGTCAGTGCTCGTCTGCGGCCATGGTGTCTCGTCCAGCCACGAGACACTAACGAAGTATCCAAGACCCTGACCGCACTGTTGGAGGCTGGATCAGGTGCCGGAGATTGGCACATTGCTGTCTGTGGAGGAGGCCACAACCACTGGGCAGGCACAAACAACATTGCTAACGGGGTAACGATTGACCTGGTCTACCTCAACCAGACCTCATACGATTCGGAGACCAATCTTGCCTCTGTTGGTCCCGGAGACCACTGGAAAGATGTGTATGCAAAGCTTCTCAAGAGCAATGTTACCGTAACTGGTGGCCGCGATGGAGGCGTGGGTGTCGGTGGTTTTCTTCTGGGAGGCGGCAACTCTTATTACACCGGCCGCATGGGCTTTGGAGCAGACTCTGTGAGGAATTATGAGGTCGTTCTTGCCGATGGTAGCGTCGTCAACGCCAACAAGGAAACCAATCCTGACCTCTTCAAAGCCCTCAAGGGTGGCAGTAGCAACTTTGGCATCGTAACGCGCTTCGATCTCGAAGCACTACCGGCCAAAGACCTCTACACGGGCATCCACATGATGACAAAGGATAACTCCGATGCCGTCGTCAGTGCTATCGTCGACTTCACCAACCACGATCAGAGCTTAGCTGACGACGCACTGGTTGTTGTCTACACCCACAATGCAGCTTTGGGAGACGATGTACTTATTGCCGCTTCTCGCATCAATACTCAGGGTAACTCGGATACCACGTCGTTCGCGAAGATCAATCAAATTCCCGCCATCAGCAGCGACATGAATCATCGAAGCATGGCTGATCTGGCGTTGAACTCCCAGACTCCTGCCGGCTCTAGGTTCGTAGCATCTCTTTTTCCCTCACGCTTTGAAAGTAACACCGGAACTCACCTCGTGATGTAGGTCTGTATGGTTTACATTAACATTCAAGAACGAAGAGGCAATCCTGAAAAAGGCTGTTGAGGCCTACCAAGACTTCGTCGACGCTATGAAGGTTGCTGTTGGGGCAGATCAGTTCGCCACTCAGATGGTCTTCCAACCTCTGCCTACCTACTTCGCAGTCATTGGCACCGAGAACGGTGGTAATGTCCTCGGCCTTGATGCGGAGAGGGAGAATGCAATCCTCTGGCTTGGTCTCGTTACCATCAATACCGAAGCTCAGGAAGCTGTTGCTCGAGCACGTATGGCCTTAGCGTCTGCCCGAATCGAAAACTATGCTATTTCTGTCGATGGAAACGTCAATTGGCGTTACCTGAACTACGCTGACCCAAGCCAAGATCCGATCAAGACGTATGGCTCTGCTAATGTGGACTTCATCCGCGAGATTGCAGCCAAATATGATCCTGAGGGGAAGTTCCAGAAGCGAATCCCTGGAGGCTTCAAGATTTCACGCGTGGATTGATTTTTGGATGGCCCAGATGGTTCTGCTGGAAGATACTAAGCTGTTCAAAACTTTGGTAGTGATGGAAAAACGCCAGAGTGGGCTCATTGACAGCTATTTATTGAGGAAACAAAAACTTTTCCCGGAAAGATGATGGTATCAAATGCACAAAGCTGGAGTTTCGCCCTTTTCAGTAACTAAGAGATAAGTAAGAGTGCCGCATCCTTCCCTCCCTCAAAGCTTAAAGCCCAGCATAGAGTTGTATTGAGATGCGGCGAAGCTTTTCATGTAAGGTACAGCAGGTAGACTATATCCGCCCCGACCGCCGGTTGCCGGTTGCCGGATCCCGGTATCCACCAGTCCCTTCGCTTCCATTCCGGCAGATACGTAAGTTTCTTTGGTGCCGGTGCCAAGCCCCGCCCCTCGTATCACATCGCGGGGCCGGGAGTCCTGCACCTGGATGTAATCAGTCTCTTGTAATTGGCTGGTTCTGACAAACAACATCTCTCGAAATGCGTCAGAGTGTACGGAGTACGTACACGTGTAAAAGCAGTTGCTCATGCAGACCTTGCTTGCTTGTGCACCTTTCAAGCGGATTCAGATAAGAGTCACCCGCACCGAAGCTATCTAACCTATCTCCCGCGGAGATGCCAAGTTTGGGCTTGAGTCACCAGGGCTGACTGGCTCTCAACAGTGACGGCCAAGCTACTCCTGAGACCGCGGGACGGTCCATGTTACACATGAGTACGGTGGCTGAGGTCATCAGAATATAAGTAAATGCGGTCGTCGAAGACCGAGTCCTTCCGATCTCTGCCGCCGTGCTAATACGGCAAACGAACAGTCTTTCTAGATGTGGTTGTGATATTGTTATTGCTACCATCTGCGGAGGCGAAAACTTCCGCAATTGACATTAGAAACCATAATTAGTGGACCGCATGCACGCCCTTTCAAACACATGTCCTATTACGTTTCGGCAGGAACTAGAGGAACTACCTACACGGAAGCGCCCGGCCCTATAAAGCCGGTAGACCGACATAAACCGCCATCATCAGATCAACTTTAGCACTATCAATTTCGCCCCATCGACATCAGCAAACAACAAAGCCATTTAACCGAACCTTTGTGCCCATTTTCTTGTCTTCGACAACATGCAGCTTCGGAAAGATCACGTGGAGAATAGCATCCGGGAGCTTCGTCAGCTCATCAAGGACTATCCCCTCGGCGTTCTCACCACAGCCATCCCATCAGCCGATCACCCTTTCATCCAGTCCAGCCACATTCCCTGGGTATTGGATGTCGAAGATGACTCTAGCGAAACGGAGCTCGGCGTTTTGAGAGGTCACGTGGCGCGCGCAAATCCTCAGTGCAAGGCGATGGTCGAGTCACTATCGGCAGAAAATCGTACGGGAACCGGAAACGTTCTCGATCAGGAGGTGCTGGTCCTCTTCACCGCGCCCGCCCACTCCTATGTCACGCCGAAATTCTATGTCGAAACTAAGCCAACGACGGCCAAAGTTGTGCCGACCTGGAATTACGCCGCGGTGCAGGCGTACGGCCGCGCCAAAATCTTTTACGAGTCCAAGACCGAGGAGACGTCGGGATTCCTGAACAAGCAGCTCCACGATCTCTCACAACTTGGAGAGCAGTCAATCATGGGGTACACTGGTCAAGGCGGCCGTCCTGGGCCGTGGCAAATCTCGGACGCCCCGCAACGGTATATTGATCTGTCCAAAATGGCTATTATTGGCATCGAAATCACCATCGACAGGCTGCAGGGCAAGTTCAAGATGAGCCAGGAGTTGAGCGAGGGGGATCGTCAAGGTGTTGTCGCGGGGTTCAAGGCGTTGGACTCGGACTTGGGCAACCAGATTTCCACAATGGTAAAGGAGCGCGGCGAGTTGAAGCAGAAATCTAAACAATGAAAGTTCCCAAAGACTGTTGTCCATGAAGGGCTGTTTCCCCATCGCGAAGTGAATTTCCACACCATGCCCCCGCGTATTTGGCGTAAATCCGGGGTCCAATAATGGGTCCCAAACGCATGCAACCGGCCCGGTGCTGAGCTAGGGGCTGGCATGTAGGTACGACTTTCAAGCAACCAATGCGAGGCAATGAATCACATAAAGAACCACTGAAGACCAAACTATTGGCTTTTGTAGGAGCACCAACACCGGGCCGGCACTCAGCTCTAAGTTAAGTACCCGTCCACTGATCATGATACTCTTTGCCAGCGAAGTCTAGGAGACATCCTGATTGCTCGGTAATGTCTCACACAGCTAGCTTCGATAAGCTGATGTTTTGTCTGAAAGAGAAATGACTCCGTGTTGTTTTAAAAACTCAACACCTCAGTAGATTCAAAAGGCGCATTGGAAATATCAACACCCCTTTCCCGCATTCCCGTGAACCTCCCGCCACTTACTACACCCACTAGCAGCATTTACGGCAGCCCCTCCATTCTTTACGATATCCGTAGTCCATCCAAGCGAGCCCTGAACCACCATTACATCTCCGCTGTGAGCAAACAATGACTTCTCATCGGGCTCAATGACCTGTTTGTAGTAAGGGTCCGCATAGGCGGACAAGAACTGCCCGATGCTCGATACGGTGAAGTCGGCTGCTCCGTCATATTGTAAGAGGTACTCGTCCGGTAGCCTCAGAGCTTTCCGAAGAGTCGTGCGGTTTGCCTCGGTGGTGTGGTACTGTGAAATCCGTCCTAGTCAGTTCGAAGAACCTTTCTGTTTAAGTATCGAGTAATGGTGCCTCGCTACTTACCTGAGTGTACCGGTTGACGCCGTACTGGAGAGCCCAAGGCACAACAAGAGGGCCATGCGTGTTTGTCCAGTGATTGTGGAATTCTTGCTCTGTCATTCCGGCCTTTCGGGTAAAGAAAGTCATGATGCGAGCAGATTCATCCGCTAGAGTTGGAGCGAAAAGCGTGAGAAGGGCACCGAGACCGCATGTCGCCGACGTGAACTTCATCGTGTACGTTAGCTGGATGATTATTTGTAACAACAGAACCTGGGTTTTCAATTCAAGCCGCAACCATCATAATGTGACGACGTTCCTTTTATACCCTTAGAAAACTCAGAGTCCAAGAGAAGAGCCAAACTACATTTTGCGTGGGTCTTGGCCTTCCGCTGAGGATCGGGGGTTACAATTTCCGTCAAAGTGGCCTGGCATTGCCGACTCCGTCTCGTTCCTCGGTCAAGCCGGAGCACGTATCTCGAGAAAGAGACATACTCGCGGCACTTTGAAGATGATTGGTGATGCACGATGACTCCGGTATAAAGGGGCAGATCTTTAACACCACCGACTACGATATCGAATCGTTGATTTGTTGGTTTTGAGTCCCCAGTCATCCGCGGCAGGGTGCGCACGACGAACCCTGTCTGTAGGTACATGGGTTTGGGGCAGGCTGCAGCTTTTTGTCATTTCTTCAAATCAATTACGCTTTGTGTTTGCTTGCTCTTCTCTTTCTTAGAGAGGTTCAATTACTAATTCTTTGTGCCTTCTAAAAGAAACATTTCATCAAAGACTGAATTTAGTATCTTCTGACTTCCATTCGGTGTGGATCTTGCTCAGTAGTAATCGGCAAAGATTAAACGTCAAACCTCGTAGTCGAGAACTCAAAGCTTGTAAGTCATACACAATGCTCCAAAGCCGCTCGTTCTGTGTCGCTCGACGGGCTATGGGCTCCCGTGCGTGCTCAACTTGGCGGGCAAATCGGAAGGACTTCCTGAATCTAGACCAGTCTCCTTCTCCTCCTGCTCTTTGCGCGTGGGATTGATAACGGGAAGAGATTGGCACCGTAGCCAATTGAGACTTGTGGAACAACTCACTCACATGCATTATCGGTGCGAATCAAAGCTTCACCTCATGCAACTCGCCGACTTTGGTATGCCGCTTCTCGGTCTCGCGTGCGGGGGAACGGTTGGGGGGAGCTCGGGTGTTTGTATGCGCGCGGGACAGGCCGAGGAGGGGTCGAGAAACTCTCAACGCGCTATGCGGCTCGACGGAAAAAGATTGACGACAAGGACTGTATTTGGGATGAAACTGAAGCTTGAATTTGCCAGCGACGACTACAGTCATCGCGCACCGCCAATATTAAACAGATACATATGAATGCCAGGTTCTACGCAGATATCTCTGACTTGCGGTGAAGAGAGACTTGGGAACCGTATACGACCACCTCTGTCCACCAGGAGACCTTCAGGTTGTCTCACAGAAACTGTATCCAATATTTCGACGGTCGCCCGCGTCACATGATGGCAGAAGCAACGAAACCCAGAGATGTCAAAGGCCTAAACCAAAATGGCTCGCTCAACGACGAAGAAACTGGCGGATCGCACTCTGAGGCACCACTTGAGGTCCACGGAGACGAAGACATCGTGGCGCGGATGAACAACCTCGATCCTCCCGTGATACCAGAGGAAGAGAGGCGCGTACGGAGGAAAATCGACATGCGCCTGCCCCTCTTCCTGCTCATCCTCTACATGTTCACCTGGCTAGACCGCGGCGCGCTGGGGAATGCGGCGCTAATGGGGATCAAGGAAGATCTCGGGTTCACGAGTAGAGACTTTTCTCTCGCCGTGAGCATGTTCTTCGTCGGGACGGCGATTTCTGACCTGTTTACGAATATTGGGATGAGGTATATCCGGCCTTCGGTCTACCTTGCTACGGCCATGGTACGTCCGATGCGCAAGAGTGATAATAATACATGGACGAAATCTCACTGGAATACGCAGATCATCTGGGGTATCTTTGCGACGCTGCAAGCTGTTGCTGGCGGTCCCAGCGGGATGTTCGCGATCCGGTTCTTCCTCGGCATCTTTGAGGCGGCCTTCATATCCGGAGCGCCATACCTAACGACAGTCCTCTATCCCAGAGCCGTAAGTCTCCCCTTCATAGGATCTTGGTCCTCTCAACCCCTGACGTAACACCGCCAAAGGAATGGGGCCGCCGCATAAGCGTCTACCTCTCAGCAACGCCCCTCGCAGGCGCCTTTGGCGGCTGGGTAGCCTATGGCGTCTCCAATATCTCCAACCCACTCATAAAGCACTGGCAAGCCCTCTTCATCATCGAAGGCCTCGTCACGATCCTCTTCGGCGTAGCCTGCATCTGGGTCCTGCCCGACCGCCCGCACAACACGCGCTGGCTCACCCCGCGCGAGCGCGACGTCGCCACCTGGCGGATGATGCGCGACGGCAACCGCACGCACGGCAAAGTCCACTGGCGCACGACGGCGGCACAGCTTATGGGGGACTGGCGGCTGTGGCTGAATATCGCGATTTACATGGGTCAGGTGCTGCAGACGTACACGATTGCGACGTTTACGCCGATTATTGTGGCAACGTTTGGGTATGATAACGTTAAGGCGCAGTTAATGACGGCGCCGCCGTATTGTGTTGCGTTTGTCATGGTCTTTGTGGTCGGATGGGCGAGTGATCGGGTTAAATCGTGTTCGGGGTTGCTGGTGGGATGTTCTGTTGTTGCGGCTGTTGGGGATTTGTTGTTGGCTGTGTTGCCACATACGGCTGCGAGTGCGAGGTATGGCGCGACGTTTTTGATCTTGTCTGGAATCCTGTCTGGTGTCACGTTGAGTGTGGGCAATATTACGAGTAATTGCTGCGGCGATATCAAGAAGGGGATCGCCACAGGGTTGTTTCAGTCTTTTGGGAGCACGATGGGCATCGCGACGGGGTACCTCTTTCCTTCGACGGATGGACCGAGCTACAAGAAGGGGTTCTGGACGTTGTTTGCGGCTACGTGTTGGACTGGTGTTGGGGCCGCGTTTGTGACGGTGATGAATATCAGGGAAAATAGGAGGCGAGACAGGGAGTTCGGGAAGCCGCCTCGGGACGTGGTGATTGACTACGACGAGGATGGTCAGATGGAGCATCATCCTTACTGGAGATTCTATCATTAGCATTTTGGTAGTCGAGGAAGATGACGTCAGGCCAAATGATATACAACGGGTTCAGGGCGCTCAACAAGAAAGGCAATAGAATTGACAAAAATGGTTGTCTTGATAGAAGCCACATCTCTAAGACATTGAGTTCTATAAGCGACAGCTACTCACTTCAGGGCCATAAATTTGTAGCCAAATCAAACGAGATCTATGTGAGGAGGCCGAGTAAACGCACCCACAGGCTTCATTCTGTCATAGCTTTGAAGCAGGCTCTAGGTCTGCTTTCGTCATTGCTTCTTACGACCAAAGGACTCAGAGCTTCAGCATGCCTTTTGTCGTCATCTACGTTCTGTTTCATTCGAAGGAGTCAGGTCAGCGTTGTGAGATACAACTCTGAGGAGACTACGGATAACGCATAACGTCGGACGCGCCATGTTTGTTTCACGGCGGCAGTGAGATGGGCATATGATTGATACGGAAGTAGAGGAATTCAATGGACCGATATGTAGTCTCTACCAGATAGCTTCGAGCAACCTGCTGTTGTCATGTGTGATATTTGCCTTCGTCATAACAGTCTACGAATGTGGTCTTGGTGTCAGTGCCGTACAGAAAGTAGCAGTCGTCAAGCATTGTTCCGGCTCACGTTAAACTTGTGAAGTTATGTGAGGAGCAACTGGCTGGGCGAATCGAGGGCGGTCTCAGTCGATCGAACTGTCTGGGCACCAGGGGAGAGCAAGGGTCAGCCCGGTATCTGATCACGCTGGGCAGAGGGCCGGGACGAGCGGGAGACCGGGCTCGTGACTGGGATGTTTGCTTGTGTTCCGTGGCCGGGCCATGGATGGTCAGTAGGCGGTTGGGACAGGAGTGTTGGAACTCGGACGACGTAGACGACGAGGGATGGGTATCGCATCTCGACATCTGTTTGCTTCTTGGCGGTTGGTGATGAGAAATGATGTGCTTGCATGGTATCTGCATCTTGAGCAATATCTTGGAAGCCCATGCATGACAGCAAGGTGTCTGACCATATCCGTATGACCGTGGGCTCAAATGGTGGGATACATGTTGGCATTTGCCAACCAGCCATTGAAGGTGGACATGTATGTTGGCGGCCCAATCTCTTGGGACCAGGGATCGAAGGAGATTCGTCACATCTCGAGCCAGGCTATTGGCGGTTGGCGGTTCTGGGCGGCGGGGTCGAATTCTGTTGCTTTCGCCTGTTTGGGATGCACGGCAATCTGGACTTCCAGATCTGGCTGGAAAGAGGCGGCCAGGGGGAGGTATTCACTGTGTGCCTGACTCGGGCAAAGATTTGACTACCATTCTCAAATGCTGCAACCGTAGCATAGGGAGAGAGAGAGAAAAGAGGGGTTCTCGGGCAAGTACGACTGCTCATCTGTCAGCGGCGTTGGAGTGGTCAAAGTAAGTGGTTGAAGGTCGCAGGTTTTCGTCCTCGGAGGAACGTGGTGCATTGCAGAACTCAGGTATCGGCTGGTGAGCGAACAAAGAATCTTGTTCGTCAAGGAAAACAGCTGTTTATCCAAGAAGAAGCTTGGTTTTTACCATAAGGTTAAAAGGACGGATAGAGTGAGGTGCAGTTGCCAAACATCCGCCCAGGGCAGGTCCAGATCAAGTGGTCCAGTTGGGTCCACGGGTCGATGTTGGACGGAATGCGGCGGAAGCTTGGGCCGGAAAGCTTCAACAGGCAAGACCCAACTGCCAACCAACCGAAAGTCAATGGGAAAGACTGGACAGGAACCTGGAAGGTGCGGGCGACGGCACGGACGTGATTGCCCTGGCTGGCTGGTACATAGCTACTTACTGCGTAGGTGCAAATGTAGGTAGGTACGAGTGCTCCGTACCTACCTCAAGGTACCTGAGGTGTCTGGATACGTACCGCGGTGTGACTAGCGGACTAGCGCAAGGAGGGGCACACAGACGCGCATAGTGGAGAATTATCCAATATCCCAGCCAACCAAAACCAACGAATTACCGCCCGTAGTGGCCGGGGTCCGAACGGGAAGGTAACCCCACTGGAGCTTTCACTCTCCCAAATGTGCGAATCACGCTGCAATGCCGGGGGTCTCCCGCCTTTTTCGACCGTCTCCGCCGTCCTTCGTCCTCTTCCATCGGCCTTTCTATCAAAGTTGTCAACCACTTCTTTGCCCGTCACATCCTCTTCTCACTCTGCTATTCGACCGCCACCAAGAACATCAACCGCCCCCAATATGCACCTGTCCACCCTGTGTGCCGACCCATGCAGCTTCTGCAGGCCCTCTCCTCGCCTTTCAGTTTCTTGGTCACTTTTGCCAGCTGTTGGTCAATTCCATCTCAATGTGTCGGCGGTCAACTTGACGGCCTCCACTGGTCGCACCTCAAAATGCGCTCCCGTCGTTCCGGCGTTGCTCCAATGACCGCTGATCAAAGAGGAGTGTTACCTACGCTCTCCGGCCCTTCCCATCATCTTATGGCACATGGCATGACCGAACCAACAAAACCCCAGTTCCACTGTTCCAGAAATCACTGAAGCATATCTGTGGCCGTCAGCAACCGCATCTTCCACGCCGTGGGAGGCCGCGGCTGCCGCTTACGTTTCTGGATTGACAACCCCCGGGTACACAGACGGACTTCTTCACAGAGGACGTTACCTCGACGATATTCCAAAGTCGTTTCCTGCTTATACAGCTGCCTACGACCACCCTCGTTCAGGTGTATGAACACCAACCCAGACGGCATCGACAAGAACTAGCGCTGCGGCGACGTTGGCAATCTGGACATCTTACCTCCCGCCGATCACACTCTTCACTCATGGCGCCCGGAACCAACGCATCCATCCCGCTTGCCATCCCTGGTCTTCATCTTCAATAGTCGTTGTCTGCCGAGAAAACGGCCGTACCTTTGCCCAAGAGCTTGCAGCTTGCAGCTTGCTCCTGCATCGCATCCACACCTCTAGCGCCCACGCACCAGCCTGCATTGTGTGACATCCGCCCGCGGGGAACGACCAGAATTGCGGCCAGCCAATATTAAAGTACGGTCAGCCGCTGGGCCTCGTGCCATTCACACTCTCCCATCCGACCCAGAGAAGCCCTCCATCCCCCCATCTGGCTTTTTATTGCACGACCTCATCGAGGCCGCAGCCCATTCGACCCCCCTCCACATGGAATATTCGCCGTCTTATCACATATCCTCTGCCTTTACACATGTCACCACGCTTGACTGAACCCGCTTCCCGACCGAATCTGTAGGCAACGTGACGAGACTGTCGATAACAGAGGTGTTCTCATCACGCCGCCCATACCCCAGAGTCAAACCACTGGGACCTCTCCACCTCGGAGCGACTCCGATCTCACCTCCATATATCCCCTGGTGGCGCCCCCAATTCGCGGTTTGCCGTGCTCCCGTCTGTTTTCCTACCGGTCGCTCGTTACTCCGCCAAAGCATAACATCGCATTGCATCAAACCTACTCATCTTGGCCCCGCTACCAAGGGTTCTTGCACACATTGCGCAACAACTCGATTCTTCTCAGCTGGCAACACGATCAACCGACCAGCAAGGGGCAGGTAATTTACTATCCCGACGACTCCCAGCCATTCGACTTCCTCAGACTGCACCGTATGTCGACATAACTGTACACCTCCGCGCGCAGTCGCCTCAACGCGCAGCATAATTCGAGTTCTGTCGCCTTGCTGCAATGGCTACTCGTATTCGCGACCTGGCAGATGCTGCCACCAAAACGGCAGCGCAACTAGCCAAGCGCATTGCCATCACGCCCAAACCCGACAGTCCGCCAGGTTTAATCGAGGCCTTGACAGTTGACCCTTGGTCCAAGTCTGGAAAATATGGCATGGGGTGGACTTACTTCGCGCTGGCCCTCATGGGAACTGTTCTGTTTATGCGATCTTGGCACTTTTGGCAAGACAAAATTCGCCAAGCCATCTACAAGCAAGAGGTAGAGGAATACTATGCCAACCTCTACAACACTGATCCCGACTACGCACACGCCGTGCATACAGGACAAGCACAGCACTTCTTCCCCGACTCTGAGGGGCTTGGCGAGAAGCAATTCAAACCAAGGGCTCACTTCTCCTCAGTTGGCTTCGTTAACGATACCTTGGCCCTCTTCCGCTGGGTCTTTTACCGGCCGATTCCCGACTTTGTATGGGGCAGCCACCGGTTCACATTCTCCTCCCTCGCCGTAGTTACCTGCGGTCTCATCGCCTTGGCTTTCGTGACACTCTACTGCTTTCTCCAGCAACCGCTATACTGGCAGAGCATTCAATTCGGTTCGCCACCCGTTGCTATCCGAGCCGGAATGATTGCTGTCGCCCTGACACCTTGGATCATTGTGACCAGCATGAAGGCAAATGTCTTGTCCATCCTGATTGGCATCGGGCCAGAGCGCCTCAATGTCTTCCACAGGTGGGCAGGCTACCTCTGCTTGTTTCTGTCGCTGGTACATACCATTCCATTTTACGTCCAGCCAGTATGGGACGACGGTGGCATGGATGTCTTTTCTCGCCTGTTCCCCGGCGGCAGCGGCGTCATCTACGGCACTGGCATAGCCTGTCTTGTGCCACTGGTCTGGCTTTGCGTCGCATCTCTGCCCTTCATTCGCCGAGTCGCATACGAGCTCTTTGTCATGCTACATGTGCCTGTTGGCATGGTGTATGTTGGGCTCTTGTTCTGGCACACCAAGAATTACCTTGCTTCTTGGGACTACCTGTGGGCAACAGTCGGCATCTGGGTTCTCTGCTATGCCATTCGCCTGATCAACCTCAACTGGACAAGACCATGGCGACTGAGCTTCATGGTCGGAGACGAAGCGGCCATTAGCCTCCTTGCTGAGAACGCTATCAAGATTACGATCCCGACTCAGATGAGGTGGAAGCCTGGCCAATATGTTTACCTCCGCATGCCAGGAGTCGCCTTTTTCGATAACCACCCCTTTACCATCTCATCGCTCTGTAGCGAAGATTTTCCCTCCGAGTACGGCGAGCAGTACCGTGATTGCGTGCTGGTCTTCAAGCCGTATGGTGGCTTCACGCGAAAGGTCCTCGAAATGGCTATCGAGAGAGGGCCATTCCACACATATCGCGCCTTCTTGGATGGGCCGTACGGAGGCATGCGAAGGGATCTAGCAGCCTTCGACACCTGCATCCTCATTGCAGGTGGGAGCGGCATCACGGCATTGATGTCGCAATTACTCAACTTAATCAAGCGCATGCGTGATGGGAAAGCCATCACGCGCAAAGTCGTCGTTGTCTGGGCCCTCAAAAGACTTGAAGCCATGGACTGGTTCCGTGAAGAGCTCAGAATCTGCCGCGAGTCTGCGCCGCCAGAGAGTGTTACTTGCAAATTTTTCGTCACTTCAGCAGTGCGGAACCGGGCCATGATGATGGCTGGCCACGACCGTCCTGCGCCAAGGGCCTTGAGCCACATGTTCCATGACAAGCTGGATGGCTTTGTGGCAGGAATCGCTTCTAAGCGTAATTCCGCTCTTATCCAGTCTGTAGCACAAGGCGATCCTGACCGAGAGCAGGAATTGCGCGCCGAGCAAGAGGATAGAATCACCGCCCTACCGCAACAAAAATATTTACAACCCCATCAATACCCTCCTCCACCACCAGGACCCCCGCCCTCCAATCACTTCTCTGCCCAGGAAGAGTCATTACGCAAGCTTGAGGGCCGCGATTACGACGAGGAGGAAGATAGAGATTCCAAAAAGCGCGAGTTCCATTTCCCCCCCATCAACACCAAAGGCGAAGTGCCGCACTTCAACTACGCACCTGCCTCCCCGAGGAAGATCCCTGAGACAAGCCCGCGAAACTCGGATGTGCCAATACGGCCTCCAGAGCTAGCCCACTTGAGGACTACCAACCTCCCGAGCGCAGGTCAAACCCGTCCCACCAGCACATTCGGCCCGCCTTCAGGATTTGACTTTGGCTTCCCGGAGACGCCGACAGAGTTCCAAAAGAGCCTGATGCGCTTTGCTTTCCCCGTGCCCCACCAAATCGATGGCGGCTGGAGCGTCGAGTATGGCCGGCCGGACTTGGGATACATGCTAAAAGAATGGGCCACGGGCGGTGCCGACGGAAGAGGCATCCTCGGCAGGCGAACGGCTGTGTTCGTGTGTGGGCCGCCGGCCATGCGGGTTGGTGTGGCGAACACAGTTGCCCGGCTTCAGGCAGCGATATGGGGTGATGATATGCTCGAGGAGATTTACTTGCACACTGAGAATTACGCCCTCTGAATCAGGGGCCTGTATTTGTAATGATTGGACGGAAAAGATACCACGGGTGATACATTTTACATCCATAATAACGAGTCTTTTATTTCACTTCAGAAATCGATATGTACCTGCTTACGATGTACATTGTTGGACGTTAACGTGCTCATTGTTTTAGAGGAACCCATAAGACAGGAGATCGGGATGAAGGAGGCAGACGTAGGCTGTGCTAGTGGGGAGCCTGTTTGACCTTGCCATGCTCGGAGTCGTCGTCGTCATGGTACCTCGATGAGCCGATGATACACCATCTTATACATGTCAACCAGCGAAACTCATCTCCAGAAACCATTCCCTATCCTGACAAAGATTCCACGGTAAGATACTCGAGAGGATGTGGATGATATCTTCATTTATGCGGAGGTAGGCGCCAGTGACAACCCCCCCTTCCCTTGCGTTATCAACGCCCCTTATGTTAGAGTTGCAAAACTGTGATACATGGGGAACGTCGGAGAAATACTTAAGATTGAGCTTTTTCGATGGCTAGAATGGTGCATATGGCTGAACTTGCTTGGCTACCCTTGCAGGATTCAAGACGATGGCATCGCGACCTCTACGGCCCTGCCCATTCTCTTACGAAAAGGGCTGTACCGCCCGTCCTTGACACTGCTATTCTTTTCGGTCTTCAATCAACTCCCACACATACACACACATCTTCCTTCTCGGTTTTAAATCTCAAACACACTCTCCAAGCTTTTCCTCATATCTCCATCTACACATCACGCATCCGCATCAACAACCATAATGTCATCACACAACTCTACATCTCCCGCCGACGCCGACGCCAAGGCAGGCGGGATGTCCGGCATCAGTATGGTCACCGCAACCGCATATCTCAGCAAACTTCAGCGCGAGACGCCGCCCGAAGAACTCAGAAAGATGCTGGACGACGTGGCAAAAGAACGTCTTCGCAAGCAGAAAGTCAGGGAGTTGCTGGTTGCTGCTCGGGAGAGAGCGGAAGCCCGTTGAGATAAGTGGAGATAAGTGGAGGGCTCAAAGAGAGCGAGAGTTTGAAAGACGCTGGGGAGGAGGAAGGGTACGTCGAGGACTTGTCTGAGAGCGTTGCTCCCTGTGGATCGGATTCTGTCCTTCCTCCGATGGACATACAAGAGGAAGACCAGGAGATACAAGGGGATGAAGTCGATTTCCCTCATCCTGATCTGTATCGCAACCTCAATCTTTACTCCTCCGAGAAGTCTGTTGGCGATGAATCATACCATGACCTTGGCTGGTTGGAACTCGGCCAGGAAGCCCAAGAAACCCGAGAAACTCGACACAATCTCCCTTTCGTGGGCGCATTCGTTAATCAAATTCTAGGGTTCGACGATGACGACAAGGAGATATTGCGTGAAAGACTGATCAGCACGCTAAACTACCACAGGGCTTGGGAATAACAGACACGACAACCTTGGCAGTGAGCAGACAGCATAATAGATCAGATCAATTAATAAATAAAAAGGGTTCTGCTAGGGGGGCTATATCCCACTTTTCCCGAACTAATCCGACTAATAAGAGGCCATAAATTATTCCGACCGATCTCTACTACTACTAATTACCTACTTCTACTTCTATTTCTACTTATTTAAACTTACTTATTTTAACTTAGCTATTACTACTTTCTAAAAAAATAAAACTATTTTAACTTTTTAATAAAAGTATAAGTTATATATATTAATAAAAAGAGAAATTATAAAGTTATAGTTAGAATTACTTTTAGTAAGTAAAATAACGTAATAAATACTTTAAAAATCTATATAAATAATAAGAGCTCTTATAAAAAAAGTAAAGCGAGTATTTTAATTAATAAAAATAAAAAATATATTAGCTTATATAAAGTTAAAAAATATAAAAAATTATTATTAAAAAATAAAAAATAAGGACTTATTATTTTAATTACTTATAAGATTAATAAAAATAAAAGATCTAAAAAAGGATAGGGGCTACTCTTATATTACGACTTAATATATATAATTAAAACTAGGGCCTACCCCATAGGCTTGTGGCGGCTATAATACGCTATATATATATAAAGGATATTAATATAAGAGTTATTTTAATAGAATAGAAGAATTATAAATAAAATTACGTAATAATAAAAAGGATTAACGTATTACGACTTAATATATATAATTAAGACTAGGGCCGGCCCCGTAAACTTATAGCGGCTATAATATATTATATATATATAAAGTTAAGGAATATAGGAGTTATTTTACGGAATAAAAGAATTATAAAATAAGTTATATATAGATAAGGAGAGTAATTAAATAATAAGGTAATTATTATAATTATTTTAAGTAAGTAATTATTAGTATTTATTTTTAATTATTAACGAATAAAGTAGAGTATTATAAAAAATATATTTAAAAATAAGATTTATATATAGGATAAGCTTAAGTTAGGCTTAAGGATAGACTTTTTATAACTTTTTTAATAATTAATTTAATATTAAATTTTATAATTGTTTTTAGCTATTTTTATTAAAAAACTTTTTTAAAAAGATAATAATTAATTACCGAAGCTTTATTTATTTTATAATTTATAAATATAGTTTTAGGGAAGCTATTTATAATTATAATATTATTTATTTAGTACTCGTAGTTTTAATTTTTATTAATATATTTATTATAATTAGTTAGTTATAATATTTTAATTATTTTTATTTAATAAGTTTATTTTATAAAGACTAATTAAATAGTACGAATATATTAACCGTTAGTAATAATAATATTAAGTAGCTTATTAGGGTAGTTATATTTATTATTTAATAGTTATATAATATAATATTTAAATTTAAGAATAAGAATGAGTAATTTTATATTTAATTTATAATATTTTAACCTCTTTTAGTACTTAGAGCTAAGTATTTTAAATTAAAATTTTATAATAAGTCTTTAAATATATTTTAAAAATTCTTTATTTAAACCAGGGCCTATTTATACTATTATAAAACTTTTTTTATTATTAAAATAAATAAGGTTTATTACATAGTTTTTTTTTTAAAAAAAGATATCCTTATTTAGTTTAAATTTTTAATAAGAGATTATTTTAAAAATAATTATTATATATAAAACGAAGATATTAAAAATTTTTTTATAAATTATACCGAATTTAAAAAGAGAATTAAAAATCTTTTTAATAATCTTAATAAGGAACGAGTTATTAAAAAAAAGCTTGCGAATTTTAAATAAAAAGGATTTATTAATAAGTATATTTTAGAATTTTAATAAATTATTTTTAAATTTAATTAGGGTAGTAAAGTATTTATAATATTATTTTATTATGGATTAAAAAAAGAAGTTAAGGACGAATTTTTATATAAGAAACGACTTAATAAGTTTTATAAATATATAAATATAATAGTTAAGATTAATAATTAATTTTATAAGTAATATTTTGAGCGTAAAGGTTAGAATATATAGAATAACTAATTTAAATTTAATATTAAAAGGAAGTATTAATTTTTAATAATTATTATTATAATTATAATAAGCTAAGATATATAGTTAGAGATTATTAATAACCTAAGTATATTTAGTATTAGCCTATTTTAGAGAAATGAGTTAATATTATAAGTAAAGAAGTCCTTTATAGATAACTTTTTTAGATAACTTATTATAATAATAACTATTTTATTTATTAAAATAATAAGGAATAAACTAGTTAATATTTAAAAAAATTTAAAAATAATAAATAAATAAAATATAATATTATTTTACTACTTATTAAAATACTAGCTATTATAATTAAAAAAGAAATTATTTTAATATATTAACTAAATACCCTTAAAAATAATAATTTTAAATATATTATTATATTTTTTTAAATTTATAAAAATATAGAGGAAAAAGTTAAAACGGACCTTATTATAAAAGATACTTTTTATTTTTTTAAAAAAAGAATTATATAAAGACTTTAAATAAATATAAAGGAGTAACTTCTTAAGTTTAAAAAAAAAAGACTTAATATAAAAGAAATTATAAGTAATTTTATTTATATAGTATAGTAAAATAATAAATAAAAACGACCCCTTAGGCTTAGAGGACCTAATTTAAAAAAAGTCCTAACTAAGTTTATTTATATAATAAGATAAGAAAATAGTAATAAAAAATTTATTTATAAAGTTAAAGAATAGTTTAAAAACTTATTATATAAAAATAAAATTAAAATAATTAAAAAATTAGATTTTAATTTTAAAGAAATTAAAAGAAGAATTAATTTCTAACTTAATAAAGAACCCTACGCGGGCCTTAATAAACTTATTTTTAATAAAGAATTATTATATAACTTAGATAAATTTTATAATATTATTTAACGACGTATTTAGATAGAAATAAGTTATGGATTTTATTTTAATATTAATAATACTAATTTTAAAAAGGATTTTAATAAAAACTAATACGAAAATATTAACTTATTTAATAATAAATAAATATTATAGTTTTATAAAATAGTAAAACTTAAAAAGGTTTTTATAATACTTTAAGTAAAGGGAGATAGCTCTTTATTTAATACTAAGAATATATTTTATAAAGAATTATTTTAAGTAGAGTACTTAGATAATAAATACTTTTAATACCTCTTACTTAAAAAGGATAGTTATTTTTATTTATAAAAATATAATAACTAACTTATTAAAGATATCTATATTAATAATTAGTTATTAAATTAGATAATTATATATTTTAATAAGATTTATAAAATAATATTCGGACTAAGTTTAGACTTCCCTATATAATATTAAAATAATAATAATATAATATAGACTAATTATAAGTACGATTAGTACTAAATTTATTATATTTTTAAAATACGAGCCTAGAGAGAATAATAAGAATAAACAGAATAAAAAGAATAATTAAAGAATAGAATATTAAAAAACTAAAAAAGCTAATTACAAAAGAATAACGAAAAGCGAATATTAAAAATAAGTTCCTATACGTAATTAGATAATAATATAACGTATACTTATTAATTAAACTTATTATATATAAATAATTACTATGCGTTATAATTAATAATAGCGTATAAAAAAGTTTTATATTATTAAAAATAATAAATAAACTCAACTTATTATAGATATAAAAAAATAACTTATACTAATTATAAATAGTAAAAGGAGAAAGAGTTAATTATAATAATAGATATATTAATTAAGAGACCGTATATTTTTTAATATATATTAACGATTATAAGGATTAATTATAGTATAATATTATAAAGATTAAAAATATTAATATTATTCTAAGAATCTCGTGGTTATAAAAATATAACTTATAAATAAATTAAATTACTAACTAGGTTTAATAAGTAAATTTAGTTACTAAACGACCTAAGAAAAAAGGTTTAAATAAATTTATTATAATTCTTAAAAAAAAAGAAGAAATATAATATATAGTTTTTATTAAAATAGTAAAAAGCTTTAAGAAGTTTATATTTAATATAAACGATTAAAAATCGGAACGATTTTAAATTATACTTAAAGAGTATTAGAAATATATAAGACTATTTATAAAACTTAAAGAGATAGGATTATTAAAATATAATAGTTAAAATATAGAAATTAAACTTAAAAAAAGAATATAACTTAGGTTCTTCTTTATATACCCTATAAACTAAAAAAAATAAAATTATTTTAATAAATATATTAACGAAAAACTTAAAAAAGAATATATTTAACTTTTAAAATCTCTTATAAAATTACCCTTATTTTTTATATTAAAAAAAAGAAAAAAGAAACTAAGACTTATTATTAATTATAAGAAACTTAATAAAATTATAAAAAAGAATTACTATTTTTTATTATTTATTACTAAACTTAGAGATTTATTATATAGAGCTAATTAATTTATTATAATAAATTTTAAAAAAGTATTTAATTAAATTCGAATTAAAAAAAGAGACGAATAGAAAATAGTATTTTAAACTTATAAAGGACTCTTTAAATATTTCGTTATACCCTTTAAACT